ACTGAGCCATCTCCCTGTCTCCCTGGCCCCTGGTTTCTTCATTTAAAAGAAAAAAGCTCTTCTACAGTTGTATGCACTTTTACTTTTTTTGTTTTTTTGGTCATTTGTCTTTTTTTTTTTTTTTTTCCTGGAGGAATATTTATTTATGACAATGACACTGACTGGGATTGGTTGCTTGTCTTAAGGGCAAAGCAATTCAGGCAAGTCCCGCTACCAGCTTGCTGACCCCTTTATCCCACCTACTCTTCAGGCCTCAGGGCTGCTGTCTGTGCTGTTCCTGGCCTGATACCATGTTGTCTTCTCCACCAGAGCACTGATATCCTCAGCACCATTGGCTACGATACCATCATCCATCATCTGAACAATGGCCGCAAGAACTGCAAAGAGTTTGAGGACTTTTTAAAAGAAAGGTATGCTGCTTTGTCTTTTTAAAAGATGGCGGGCCAAGATGGTTGTTACCCAAGTAAGGAACAGTGATTTTGTAAATTTTTTAAAACAGTACTGGAGATTAAACCCAGGGCCTTCACAGTGAGCTGCATTCCCAGCTATTTTGTTTTTATTAGTTTGCGATAGGATCTTGCTAAATTCCTAAATTGCCTAGCCTGGGCGTGGACTTGTGGCTGTCCTGCCTCAGCCTCCCAAAATGGTGAGATTACAGGCTTACCATGCCACCCTGACTGAATGTAATGTTATTGATTGTGCTTAGCATTTCTGAAGATCTGCTATAGATTACCCAGTGACTCCCCAAGAAGTAAATGGTATCTCTGTTCTGAAGTTCTTGGATACCAGCCTGAGAGATAAGATTTATAAATGAAATAGAAAACAAAATGTAAATACACAAAATACATTAAGTAGTGTGAGATGAATAACATTCAAAGACCCCATGGGAGAAGGAGATTGTTGAAGTGTGTGTGTGTGGGGGGAATGTAGCATCAGAGAGGAGGAGATCCTTGATGTAGAGGAGGTGCAGGTGTGTCTGATACTGTGGGAGAACAAAAGGCTTGGAGTGGGGTGAGCATGGCCAGAGGGGTCCAGAGGACCACAGCCCCATCAGAGACCAGAAAGGCGAGGGCAGGACCCTGCTGTCTTGTAGGTCCAGGGGAGGACGTGTTGCATATCTTTCTGTTGACTTCGAGTGTCACCGACAGCGCTTGGAGTGTGCTGACTTACACTCCATAATCCCCAGGTCTCCCTCCAGCATCACCTGGCATCCTCCCGTTGTCATTGCACCTTTTATTTTATTATTTTTTAACCAGGTACTTCAGTTTTTCTTTTAATAAAATCAGAATATGCGCAGCACATGCAGTGCTAGCATCTAATATAGTAAACAATTGCTAAAGTGACAGTGACTTGAGGTTTAATGTCTACATCAGCAAATTTAACATGATTCTTACATGAATTTTAAAGCTTTTAGTTGAAAGCGTTGTGTGCTGATTAAACTTGCTCAGATGCTAGTAGTGAGTGTTCAGCTCACTGATTACGCCAGTATGACAAAGATAACCACTTATTTGAGGATTAAAATTCACTCAAAAAATTCGACTAAACAAAACTCATACAACAAAGATCCGACAGTCTAGACACTTCAGTATTTTGAAGTGTTCCATGAATATGATAAGACAAGTATAATTAAACCTTGGCATGATTTGATTTGAAGTCATCAATTTTGTTTTTTCTAATATCAAAAAGTTATGGCTACCCTGCCAATGCTGGGTCTGCTTAATTTTATTTAAGAGTTTAATATGTCTTAATGTTACAAGCTCACAATACCCTGAAATACAGAATTTCCGCATATGGTGACATTAAACATTCAAGTGCCAGTGATTTTTGTTGTCTTTTAGTCAAGTTTCTTTATTGATCACTTAAGAGATGCTGTCTTAGTTACTCTTCTCTCATTGCTCAGACAAAATACCCAAAACTCAAAATGAAGGAGGGAAAGGTTTATTTAGCTAACAGTGGAGGTTTAAGTCCATACTCAGCTGGCTCCAAGGCACAGTGGCATGTGGCAGAGGGCAGCAGTTCATGGTGGCAGGAAACAGCAAAAACAGCAAGAGCAAACTGGAGGAGTAGCAGCAACAATGGCTACAGAGAGCAAGTCTGTCTCCCTTACGTTGCATTCAGGCTGTCTGCCCCGGGCTGGGTGTAGTACTCACACCTATAATCTCAGCAGCACTCACACCCATAATCCTGACACTGGATCATGAAACAATCACCAACTCCAGAAGCTGCCCCATGACTGCATGAGGCTTTGAGGGGGGACAACTACACAAATTAAAACAACACTGAGATTCCCTTTCATTCCAGAAAGAATGGCTATCATCAGGTGGTCAATAACAAATGCTGTAGGGACGGACTGTGGGGGAAAATGGACTTTTCTCCACTGTTGGTGGGAGTGCAGACTGGTGCAGCCACTGTGGAAATCAGGACGGAGACTCCCCAAAAAACTAGGATGAGAGCTTCCATTCAACCTAGCTATTTCCTTCCTGGGTATCTTCCTGGAAGAATTAAAAGCATCATAGCACAGTGATATGTGTACATCCATGTTTATAGCAGTGCAATTAATTTGTCACAGCTAAAGCTTGGAAACAAACCAAATACCCATCAACTAAGGAATGGATAAAAAAGATGTGGTAGTTTTAACACTGGAATTCTACTCACTATAAAGAAGAATAAACTTGAGACTTTTATCGGTAAGTGCAATTTGAGACTATGCTCATAAGTGGAATAAATCAGACTCACATATCATCTTATCTCCCTGGTATGAGAAACTGAAAGAGTAAATAAAGTCCAAAACGTACAGTAGATGTTGTGAAATGTGAAGTAATTGTTCAGAAGGAAAAAGAAACTAGGATAGAGGAATGGGAAAAGAAGGAAAAAGAAAAAAAAATAATCAAGATAGTTATACTACTAGTTCTTCTTAGTTTGTTGAAAAGAAAGGTTTACACTAATACTGTTTGGAGAATTTTTTATGCTAATGTCTTGAACTGTGAGTAACTACCTCAAAGATAACAATATTCAATGTTTTTTTTTGTTTTTTTTTTTGCTGGCTCAGGCTGCCTTAATGGCAGGACTGGTGTGGCTTATGGCAGTGGGGATTGAACCACAAGCCCCCTGTGCCTGAATGAGTTTGCCCAAGTATGCGCTTTAAACAACTGAGCTAACTGGCAAGCCCCCAGAATATTCAATGTATTAACTATTGTTTTTTTTTATTATCTTGTTATGAAATTTGTGTTTTACTTTTTTCTATAAAATAAATATAGGGCCAGTGAAATAGCTCAGTGGACTAAGTGCCTGCTTAGGCAAGCACACGGACCAGGGTTTGATCCCTGGCACCATATGCCGCGCTGGCCACTGAGATCAGGCATGGTAGCACATACCTGTAATTCCGGTGCTGAGGAGGCTGAACATAGGAAGATCACTACGAGTCCAGCTTCATATTTGGACCCTGTACCAAATACATAAAAAAAAATTAAAATACTTTCAAATAATAGGGCTGGGGATGCAGCACAGTAGCACAGTGCCTGTCTGCCAAGTGCAGGGATCTGAGTTTGATTTCCAGTACAAGAAAACAAAAAAATCCCCAAATCCCCAAAATAAAAAAGTTTCAAAGAATAACTTTTAGGCTTATAAAAATAAATATTTGTCAAAATGTTTAATAGATATTACATAAAACTAGCAGCAAAAAGTGTCTAGAAATGTGCTATGTGCAAATAATTTTCTTTCTGTCATTCCCATGGTCTCGGATAAATTTTAGAAATTATTCCATCCTCTTCCTTGACAAATTGCATTCAGTAATCTCCAAGAGATAAAATAAGTTTGCAAGTTTTAAGGCTATATAT